AAACTGTGCGAGCATACAACTGCCCCCACCCTGCCGTCTGAATTGTTGACATAGAGCGGCTGATTCAGTTGTGCTTCTTCGTCTTCTTTTCTTCTCCCTCCTACACTCCATCCTCCCTTCTCTTCCGAGATGACACATCTCCCTATCGGCCGCCCCATTTTCCAATACTAATTTCGAGGAACGGGGGGCCCTTGCCTGCCTCGTCGAGATTCTAGCCATAACAATGACTCTTCTTCGTTTCTCGGCTTCTAATTCGCGGGAAGCGCCGCATCTGTCTTCCCTAGAATTCCGAATTCCTCCTATTATTTGCTATTTTGCAGATGTCGAAGGCACCTCACTTCCCGCAGCAGCCCGTTGCGAGGCAGAATGACGACGGGTTCGTTTTTTAGAGACCTTCAGAAGGTTAATTCTTAGGTCAATCAGTTTTAAGAAGTTTTTTTAACGAATTTACTTGATGTAAATAGAAGCCATTTTCCTACGAATTGTAAATAAACGAAACCATTCTGATATTTAAGCTACGTCGAATTTCTTTATTTCTATTCCAAAATTTTTGAAACTCTGTTGCTTTAACACCGTCGTTTCTAGTCTCTAGTACCTGAATTACATCGCCTAAACATTATACCCCTTTTCTAACAAAAACTTTTTTAGGTCCCTGGAGCTTGAGTGCTTCCTGGAAGCCAACCCCCAGCCCGACATCAAGTGGTTCTATGAGAACGTACGTTTTGGTTAATTTAATGTATCTTAATTAATGGAATTTTTCTTTTTGTTTAACAATTTCCTTTTTCTCAGAACGAGCTGAAGCAGACCGACCGCTTCAGCTTCCGGCTGCAGAACAAGGGAAATGACGCCTTCTCGGCCATCCTTCAGATCAAGGTGTGTTTTGGGAAAAAGGACAAATTTCAAAAGAACGCGCGCATTTTCAAATTATCTAACCTAAAAATAGCTACAACAGAAAACACATATTTTATACCTGGCCGAATTTCCCCGGCTTTTCCGAGTGACCATAGCCCCCGGGCGGGCACTCCCCGTCCACAGGCTTGTGATGGACGAGTGCCGTTTAGAGTCGCCGTTCCGAAAGCATCTTTTCTCTCACTCTCTCTTGCTCTCTCTCTCTCTCTCTCTCTCTCTCTCTCTCTCTCTTTCTCATTTGGCTGTGTGTAATGTCGCCGCGCCAATCATTAGGTCGACTCTCGCCCGAGCAGCGGGGGGCTAGCAAAGCGGCTAGCCATGTTTTATGGCACAACACATGGGGTGTGCTGGGCGTTCATGGGATGGCAATGAGTGAAAAAGTACAGAATCGAGCTTGCAAAAAGAAAGTTAATGGACGGTTTTTGCAGGATTTGGCCGACTCGGACGCGGGAGCCTACCGTTGCGCCATCGTCAACCCCCACGGCAAGGGTAACGCCAACTTCAACCTGAAGCTGACCGGTAAGTAATAGTTGACGAGGTATTGCCTCTCTCTCTCATTGACTTTCTGTCCCTCTCGCGCTGTCTCTCTCTCTCATTCTCTCTCTCTCATAAAACTGCTGATTGAGCTCTTCTAAATCATACTCATACATCTGCAAAACCTAGTGATCTTTCAGGTTTCTCCTCCCCGACCTTCGTCGAGAAGCCCCAGATCTCGTCTCGCGATGACGGCCAGGTTATGGTGATGGAGTTCCGCGCCAAATCGATCCTCAAGCCGACTTTCGTCTGGCAAAAGGGAGACGAGATCGTCGCCGAGTCCGACCGCATCAAGATCGTCACCCGGGAAGAGGCCAACCAGGTCTACTATGCCGCCCTTGAGATCAAGGTCAGTCATCTACCGCTTGTAGGACTTGTTCTTTCGATATGGTGCGTCAAGCATTTATATATTCCCCGAACATTAATAAGATATGATTTTAACCCTGATTTATAGGAGCCGACGAAGGAGAAGGACGCCGGCCAGTTCGTCTGCACAGCAAAGAACGAGTCCGGAAAGCTTACCGCAACCTTCACCGTCAAGTTCGAAGGTAAGTAGAGTTAATGGTCCTGGGAACCTCATATAAAAATTTAATTCTAAGGTATCATTAATACGTCTTCTTTTTCCAGTTCCCCAGGGTGCCCCCACCTTCACCCGAAAGCCCCAAATCCTGCAGAAGACCTCTGATTCCGGAGATCCGGCCATCGTCTTCGACATTGGCTTCCAGGCTGACCGCAACCCTGAGGTATCCATTTTTTAATGGATTTTCATACCGTTTTTCAGGTTATCTGGTTGAACCCCAAGGGCAAGAAGATGAAGGAGTCCTCCCGAATCAAGTTCACCACCTCCCCCGACGGCGGCGCCAACACGTTCACCGCGTCGTTGGAACTCAAGGTTGGCGCTTTTCCCTACAGTCTTACCTGAGTATTTCTATGGCACTTCACCAAATCATTATAACCTAATTTTTCTAGAACTACAAGGCCAAGGACTCGGGCACCTACACCTGCAACATCAAGAACGATGCCGGTGAGGCCAACGTCGAGCTCACGCTCAACATTGAAGGTAAGTATTTTGATCAATTTTTTTAAGAAAAAGAGCACGATATCTTGAGATTTATTAAGTTTGATAACCTTACAAGTGCGTGTAATTTGTTGTGCAGTGTAGTCTAACATCAAAGAAACTATTTTTGTTAACTCAACACCTGTGTTAATCGGTGTGCCGTCTAGTCTAACATTGAAACTACATTTTTTAACCGAATTCCTTTGCTATTTGGTGTGCCGTGTAGCCTAACCCTTTAGCAATCACCGGAGACGGTGCTCCGTACAGGAGCCGATCTTCCTCTTCCTCTTCCTCTTCTTCTTCATCGTCTTCGTCCTCTTCATCGTCGTCAGCTTCTGATTCGGATGTCGAAAATGACGCCCCAACGCGCAAAGTTCACGGCCAGCTCGGGCCCGTCGAATTGGAGTATTGAAGCGGAAGTATGCGGAAAAATCTTGACCTAGCTTTAGCTTGAGCTTTGCATGAGAATGCGCGAGGTTCTGCACGATTTTTAGAAGGCTACGATTTGCATGTACCTGCTTAATTTTTTGCTCGATTTGATGGATTAAATATCTATGGATTCTGTTGCTTTCCATAGCTTTATGAATGGATTTTTTTGAGTTTTGGCTGCCTTGACTGCATGTTTTGCACTCCCTTAACTTGCATGTACACCTAGCATGCTAATCTGCATATTGCCAAAGCCAGAAAATCAAAATTATCTCAATTTTCCAGGTCCTCTTGATGATGGCGATGGTGATGACAGCCAGGCTTAAATCAACAGTTCCCGTCGCGGAACCCAAAAGTCGCCGACTTGGCTTCTCCAGGCCAAGCCGACTTCAGCATATCCGACTTCCCCATCCACCACACACCACCCAATTACTTATATTTCCATTTTCTATAAAGCCTCTCCCCTCCATCCCCCCTTCACTGCCAATCTGGTCCGTTTCTTCGGGCCTTTTAAAGGGGTGATGACAGGTCGAATTCAACCCCTGTCACCCTCCCTTTAAACCCCCTTCCCCCTTCTTTCACCAAAGTCACACACACGCACAAACAACAGCACACCACCCACCCACCCAATATAGTCAACTCGTTCTCCCCCGGATATCTCAACCCCATTGACACACCAAAAAATTAGTCAAAAACAAGCAGCAAAATTTTTAAAAAATGGTGCGCATTTTTGGAATTTAATTTTCGTGCATTTTAATGCCAAAAAACGATTTGGAAACCGCCCCCCACGCGCCTTCTGCGACCAGCTCAACCCTTCCCCCTTTCGTGTAAATTTATAGTATTTTCTACTGATGATTGGGCCCCAACAAACGATAAAAATCCCCCTTTCCAACACCATCCATTTTTGCCGTTGAAATGCCTGTTCCAATGTGTTTTTCAGAGACGCCCATTCTCCTACTTTTTTCGTAATATTCCTGTCTTTTTGTGGCATGGCTCTAATAAAAGAATTCTATATTTTGAGAGTTTTATAGTGGCACGCTAAGAAAGGCTAAAAATTAAGTTCGACTAAAAGGCTAGAAAAAGTTATCGAATAAAAAGTAGCACCTTGACCTCCCGGAAAAATCACTTAAAATTTGGTTGTTTACGCACTTTGAAGCATAATGGTAATAAGCATTATTAGTGCCTAACTACAGGTAATTATTAAATTAGTCTCAATAGAAATCCCCTTAATTTTATTGATTCTCATTAAATTAATAATTAATTGAATTTCGACCTTAAGTAAAAAAAAAAAAAAATAAAAAAAAAAAAAAAAAAAAAACCAAAAAAAAAAAAAAAAAAAAAAAACCAAAAAAAAAAAAAAAAAAAATTTTTATAAAAAAAAAAAAACCAAAAAAAAAAAAAAAAAAAAAAAAAAACCCCCAAAAAACCCCAAAAAAATTTATACAAAAAAAAAAAAAAAAAAAAAAAAAAAAAAAAAAAAAAAAAAAAAAAAAAAAAAAAAAAAAAAAAAAAAAAAAAAAAAAAAAAAAAAAAAAAAAAAAAAAACCCCCCCCCCCCCAAACCCCCCCAAAAAAAAAACACCCAAAAAAAAAAAACACAAAAAAAAAAAAAAAAAAAAAAAATTTTTTTTTTTAAAAAAAAAAAAAAAAAAAAAAAAACAAAAAAAAAAAAAAAAAAAAAAAAAAAAAAAAAAAAAAAAAAAAAAAAAAAAAAAAAAAAAAAAAAAAAAAAAAAAAAAAAAAAAAAAAAAAAAAAAAAAAAAAAAAAAAAAAAAAAAAAAAAAAAAAAAAAAAAAAAAAAAAAAAAAAAAAAAAAAAAAAAAAAAAAAAAAAAAAAAAAAAAAAAAAAAAAAAAAAAAAAAAAAAAAAAAAAAAAAAAAAAAAAAAAAAAAAAAAAAAAAAAAAAAAAAAAAAAAAAACCCAAAAAAAAAAAAAAAAAAAAAAAAAAAAAAAACCCTCAGCAAACGCCAAGTATGGTTTTTCCATGATTTAATTAAACTCTCAAACCGTTTATCAAGTATAAGACATGTAATAGAATACAAAGAAATGCAATGCATAAAAAATATCAGATTCTAGAGAGGTTTGGCCTTGATTTTTCGGCGCTCCATGATGTAGTGGGCCAGCGAGGGGAGACGATCGTAGGGGATTGCCTAAAGTTCGTTTAGCCGTTGAAGAAGTTAAATGAGGCTCAGTCAAGAATTCCAGCTTTCGAATTACCTTGACGGCAGCGCAGAAAGTCTTCTGAACAAGCCAGCAGGTCGGCTTCTGCCACCAGTGCGCATGGCTGACGGCGGTGCTCATCAAGTCGCAAAAACTGAAAAGAAACGCTATAGTGATGGCCTCTTAAAGTTTTAAATTACCTATCATCACAGTGGCGTTTCTGTTCTGCGGCCTTCTCCGGGCTCCTGGCCTCGTAGCAGACGTCGTGGATGAAGCAAATGCGATTGAAGCGGTCTGGAATGGGATATTGAGTGCTTGCTTCAATGGTTGGACTATGAAAAGCCAGAATAGAGAAAGAGAGAGAGAGAGAGAGAGAGAGAGAGAGAGAGAGAGAGCGCGGGGGCCTACCACATACCTTTAATACTACCACACGATGCCCACATAAGCGCCCGGGCCACGTGGGTCGTCCACGTCAGCAGCATCTTCTCGTCGGTCCCGCAGTAGAAATTTCCTTGCGCCACCGCCTTCGCGTACTCCCCGTTCAGCTCGTTTCCTAAAGCGCAACTTTTTGAGCGAAGACTCGATTATGTTACGTTTTTGGCAATCCGGTATGAGCTGCTCGAGGATGATGTCGGAGCCGTCCTGAAAACGATGGGCTTTGTGCGCTTCCATAAATCAGACCTCATCAAGATGCCGATCAACGAGGGTACAGTTATCCGAGTAGGTGGTAGATACAGAATGCACTAGTAAAATCACGAGGACCAGCCGCATTTTGGGATGACAAAATAGACAATGCTGGTTGGAAATGACCGGGTGATGCACGCAAAACCTAGCCGCATGCAAATCGACGGCACTGGGTTATTCACAGTACACGTGAGGGGGTGATCTTTGATAATTGGTCCTCGTGAATTAGGGCAAAGAGAGATAGATTGAGAGAAAGAGAGAGAGGGAAATAGAGAGAAAGATGCTTTTTACTTGCACTACAAATTCTTGCCCGGTTTTAAGCTTTATTAATGCCAAGTAACATCTTTTGCATAATTGGAGCTTCAATTCGCTTTTAAGAGCTTCTTCTTGCCGAACACGTCGTAGAGAGGGCTCTATAACAAATTTTCTCAGACGCTCGAATTTATAAAAAAAACGAAATCAACAGTGCTAGCTCACCTTAACTGCCGTACAGAAGGTTACAGCCAGGTCGACGCATTTTCCTGCATCCCTGGCGGCCGCTTCTAGTAGTATATGGCAGAAACTAGGTCAAAATTAGGTTGTTGGTTTTTCGCGCTAAAATGGTGTTAAAAAACCTATAAAAATTTACTCTTCATCACAAATTTCATGCCTCTTCTCCATCAGTAGATCCCTGTCCTGCAGCTTCTCATAACAGACATCGTGGATGAAGCAGACGCGATTGAAGAATTCTAGAAATATGGCTATGCCACGAGTATTACAAACTATACACTTTCTGCATTCTGTAGTAATTCTCACTTTCCGTGGCCTCACTGCAAAGCGACTTGCTTAACGCTTCAGCGACGTCGTCCGTAAGTTGCCACTTTTCCATTCCGCACCAGAACTTGCCGACGCGCTAAAAATGTACGTGCAGCTATAGCTTAACGATGAATCAAAGGAATTCTTGACAATCCATACCTTAACAAACATTGCGTTGTAGGCATTGACTAAACTTAAATTTAATACCATTGCTCTTTTTAGGGCTTACGCATTTCGCAGTTGCCCTTCACAGTTTTCTTTAGGAACTCATCGCTTCCGTACTTTAAAATTTGGCTTTAGTAACAACTCCTGCCATTTTTCGTTACCTGGTCCACTTGGTAATCGGTTACGGTACAATCTTCGGCAAATGCGGCATATAGGATCGAGCTGAAAAGGAGCCAGCCAAATCGGCACATATTGAAAAGTAAAGCCAGACGTTGCGGGAGCTGATTATATACCAAGCCTCAAAAATAGCAAACTTATTCCGTAAAAATTTTATATTGCTTTTATTAATGTTTTTTTTGGATTGAATGATCGTCTCTCTACTTTCTCCCTTTCACTCTTCCTCCTTCGAGCCATAGGAATAGCTCTGATGCCGATGTACGTCTTCGTTTTGCCGGCTTCATCGCCGTGAACATTAGATGGACACACTGGTATCATTACCGCGACCTCTGCGTCCCAATTCACGCAGTAATGATAGTAATAGGCGCAATTCATAAATACCGGCGGAACCCCCGGGAGGGCCAGCGCTGAACCCCCGCGCAGCGGGGGGCAGCGCTGGTCATACACAAAATTGATGTTTTGAACGACGCTATCGACTTCCCTACTCAATTGCCACCAATGTATGTATTTGTATTTAGTGTATTTATCGAGTCATGATTTTATCCGCCCAAATACACGAAGATTGCAGATCCCTATAATTGCTTTCGATGGGCCACCGACGGAAGTTTGACGTATTTCTTCTCGCCTTTCAATTTTACCCACCAGTCGTAAAAATTTTGCTGAAATTTTTAGCGTGTTTAGCCAACATATGGGCAGGAGTTTTCTCTTTGATAACGCTGCAAAACTCCGAATCTACCTGCACAGCCCAGCCAAATCCAGCGCCAGCGCCGATGCAGGCAAGATCCTCCCAAGGTTCACCGCTGCTTGATGCCGCGACCGCTTTGTCAATGAGAGAACAAAACCTCGAAAAGGAAAATTTTTCAATAAGGCTCAAGGAAAAACGCTGGGACCGAACGTTGTTAAAGAATTTACTGCTTGTCGCACTTCTGGCCCCTTTCCTTCGATAACTCGCTTCGAGGTATTGAGTCGTAGCATTTGTCGTGGATGAAGCAGATGCGGTTCATTCGCTCTGGCATACAAATTCTATACCGCTTACGTTCATGCAATCCAGTTGCCATAAACCGATTCGCGTATGATGATGCGTGTAATTTTGCTCACAAAACTTACTTTCAATCGATTCCTCGCATACACTTGCAGCATATTTGGCGGCATCCTCTAGTACCGACAGCCCCTCGGGGCCGCACCAAAATTTGTCGGGCTGCTGGAAATCGACTGCTCAATATGCCGGCCAGTTTTTAGATAGAAATATAAGATATAACCAGGGTTGAAAAGCCGCTTCGCGACTTTTCAACCCAGGCTCCGTCTCGGACCCCATAATATTCTGCTCTTTTCATAATTGTCCTCCATTCAGAAAACAAAAAAAAATGAAAAGAACCCTTTCTGCCTCTTTATATAGGCGACCATCCACTTCCGCTCTATGCTAATTATTCCTAACAAAAAGGTTTTTACAAAAACCTAAATTTAATAGCGAAAATGGCTAATTTTTAAAAATCTGATATGTGTGCAGTCATCCCTAGACCATTACGCAACTAATGACGTATCATACGTAGCCTAATACCCGTCCCTTCTGGAGATATCCTCCGGACAGACAGACGGAAGTGGATGCAAAGTGGCACACACACACAAACACACACACAGACACTATTTTTTATATATAGTAGGATAATAAAATATAAGATATCATCTTAAATATAGGCTTAACAGCTTACCGCCATGAATTCGGCGTTGTAAGCGTTGACTAAAAATAATTGATCTGGGCCTCTACGGGGTTCCTACTTCTCTCACAATCCCCGCCGGCAAGTGCGGCCAAGATGATATAGCTTTGATCCTGAAATTCTACGTATATTTATTTCCGACAGTATTACGTCATCTAAATGGCGTTCCTTGATCGTACAGTTTTTCGCAGCTACCGTAAGCCCGAAAAGAAAGCCGAACCACGGCAGACGCGACATTGCAAAGTGACTGTCTGCTGTTTGGACGCCTTTTTAAGCCAGAATATCGTTTCGATGCGCATTTATTTGAAGTCACGGCCTAGAATAGGCGAAACGCTTTTGTGGGCGATGCAGGCTCAATTTTGTAAAATTTGCAACGCATATTGCATATAGAAAGGAGCCCCAGAAGAAGCGTAAAATTTTAAAATTCTGAATTCCGAACCGCTTTGGAAACACTAGCCTCACGCGGAAAATATCATCGCGAGCATCTCGTCCGGGTATCCTTCCTCTTACTCGAGCTGCCAATTACCTAGGGAAAGTGGATGTGCATCCAAAATCAGACCAATTTGCCAGGAGGAGGGGTTATGCCCCAAGCACTTCCGGACGACCCGGAGGGCTTTTTGTTATATCCGGACTATTTTACAGCTTTCAGTGTATTTAGTGGTTTGCGAGGAATACGATGTGTCATGCAAGGAGAGTGATGGAGAGAGAGAGAGAGACAAAGAGAGAGAGAGTGCGTGAGAGAGAGAAAGAGAGAGGCAGAGAGGGAGGGAGAGAGAGAAAATGATAGCTAGAGAAAGATATGCGTTTTTTCCAAATTTCTAATATATCTTTCCTTCTACCACGTTTCCATCCAATTTACATGAACTCCCCTTATTATTGGCATGTCCTCCGACCAGCTCCTCACGACGCTCGTAATTTAGCCCCGCATCCCGCTATTGTGTTATTAGTGAAAAGGCAAAACTTTTTGCATCCCCTTTTTGCTGGGCGTTCCCCCTCCCTTTTCACGGCTGTAGACCGGATCACATGCCTCCCGGGGTGGTCCTCCCGATTACTTCTCTTCACTTTATAATCACAGGGCAATTATTACGTGTGGAAGTCGCAGTTTTTACTCGCGCCGCGCGTTTACCCCCCGCCCGAGAAGCGGCAAAAAATGGAAGATGTAGGGGTTGTGGAGCTTCGTGGGGTGGAACACTTGAATATTACATGTTCTTCAGGATTCGTGTAGTTTGATATGGAGAACATAGTGTATTATGGAGTTTCTGGAACTGCAAATAACCGCGAAAAATTGTGGACATTTTGCGAAGGTTTCGTGGAAACACAGCTCGGACTGTAATTATTGTTTCTATTGATTTATCACCTAATTGGGGGGAAGGGCCTCCTCTTCTCCCCCCCCCCGGTTTTTTCTAACACTTTTCTTTTTTTTTTTTTTTTTTTTTTTATAAAAAAAAAAAACCCCCCCCCCTCTTTTTTAATACAATTTTTCCCTTTTTTTTTTTTTTAAAAAAATCCCTTTTTTTCCAAAAATTTTTTTTTTTTTTTTAAAAAATAATTTTTTTTTATTTTTTTTTTCTTTTCTTTAACCTTTTCCCCCCTTTAATTTTTTACCTAATCCCTTCCCCTTTTATTTTTCCTCCCAATTTTTAAAAAAAAAAAAAAAACAACTTTTCTTTTCCCCTTCCCCTTTTTTCTCTTTTTTATTTCCTTTTTTTTTATTTTTTTTTTTTTTTTTTTTTTTAAAAAAAAAAAAAACCCCCCTTCCCCCCTCCTATAATTCCCCCACCTTTTCTTTTCCCTAAATTTTTTTTTTCAAAAAAAAAAAACCAAATTTTTTATAAAATTTTTTAATTTAAATTTAAATTTTAAAATTTTTTTTTTTAACCCCCCCCCCCCCCACATCTCCCCTAATATCCTTCTTTCCCCCATAATACCCTCCCCCCTTTTTTATATCCTCTTAAATTCATTAACACCCCCACAACACTTTTTTTATATATAGTAGGATTTTACACATATTTAGCATTCATAGACCTTTTCGAGGTAATGCAAATGCATCAAACACCCCAATTTGTCATTAATGGGCACGTTCAGGGATGTTTTTTTGGAAAAAAGCAATGAGTTTTGCCGTGACCGGGGGTCGAACCCGGGCCCCCGCTCGGGAGGCGCGGATGGAAACCAGTCAGCCACAGCTACAACCTGGCGAGGGGGCGGGGGGCGTCCCACCCAGGAAAGAAGGGAAATTGCCTGTCACGGCACGGGCAGGCAGTGCGCGCGGTCCCTACGTCCATAGGGTGTACACGTTGGACAGAGTATACGGCCCCTCCCTGAACGTGCGCTTTAAGTAGAGCGGCCGTACCTCGACTTTGAGGTCTGTGCGCTGACTCAAGGCTGCCATCCGTTTGAGTACCTAAGATTATGTATACCTATCCATTTTTGTCGGTCATTTCCGGAAACATATTCCCTGAAAGGAGAAGCCCGGTAGGGAGACGTCGGCGGCCTATTTCTGGCCAGGATTATGGTCTATTTTTAGGTGGTGGTGGTAGCGATGGTAGAGAAGGAGGGTAGAGGGGAATTCCGGGCGATTTCGGGTCGCCACCCGGAGGTGGAGAAGGGGGTTGATCGTGCTTTTCCGCTATTACCTCGGTTCCAGCTTGAGTTCTGCGGTTGGCTACTGCGTCAGGCCTGCTGGGAGGTGGGGTTGGGGGTTGTTGCAGGGGCTGGGTGCGGGATAGGGGTTCAGAGCGTACGTCTGATTTTGTCGATTTTGAACGATTCTTTGACGGGGTCGGGAAGCTACATAATCGACCCTTTTAATGGACTGGGTCTCGACAGCTTGGCTTGACGCTAATAAACACTGGCAAGAACCCTTAGGGCCAGCATCTAGAAGTCGGCTTCCCAGTGGTTCCCAGCAGCCGATTTTTACACTCTCCGCCCCTTCAATACAAAATCCTTAAATACAATGCCTAAACCCCTTTCGTTGATCGATTGCACGCACAACTTAATCCACTATTTTCATAATGCCCCCTGTACAGTAGATTTCAGAGGCCCACCTCAAAAAACCCTAAGCCTGCAAGGCCCTACGCATAACGAACCAATAATGGAATGTGCGTGGCGGGCAAGGACTCTCGGTCGTTTTTTCCTTCCGCCTAAAAAAGCATCCGGAGCCACTCTATTGCTGGGGG